TTGTGTTAAATACCAACTTGTTAGTACTGGCAATTTATTTATTTAAATTTATTAGCTACTCAACTCCAATGGACTGACTCTATAAGGGCTGCATTGTCATCATGAGAACGAGGTACAGGAAATCAATTCCAGGCATTTCTTAAACACAATGTAGAAATGAATGTGTGTGTGGCAAAAATAGGTGTTGGGAGAGGGCAGGAAGTTGTCAACCTGTCTTTAGGATATGGATAGTGAAATAGGTTTTCCTACATTCAGATATTTATGATAGAGAATGGAGGGTCCCCATAGCATCCTTGAACATTTTAGTAGCAATTTCTATATGAATGGGGAGAAAAGTAACCTTGTTCCTTTTCTTTGAGAAATCTTGATTTAATCAGTATTCCTATTTTCTAGGCTAGGCAATTTATTCAATACAGATGCAGTTTATTGAAGAGAGTAGCACCCTTAACATGATATGGATCAAATGGACATGATCTTTATATACTATACAGTTGAAATGGAAATTTTCTTTCAACCTCATCTCTGAGAATGACCCAGGAATGTCTGTACCAAATACTCTGGGCACAGAAACTGGACCATGGCCTTTCTATAGCATGAAGTCTCTTAGGAAGAAGTGATACAAGAATTTGACAAACTCAAGCTCCATAAATCTCTGCATGGTGCTTTCCCTCAAGACTTTTGAAGGAAGTAAAGTGTGAAAAAGTGGAGCTACTGTACTGACATGAGTGTGCAATTTTTCCAGAAAAATGTTGCCATTTCACCTTAGGAAATGGAAGAATCTCTCTTTTCATGAAGAAAAGACAATTTTTTTTCAGGAAGCTGTGAAACTATGAAGTTTAACCATTCTAATAATACAGCAAAGCTTGGTTTATGCATGAATAAAATGGAAGCAGATAAAATTGATTTCCTATTTTATAGAACAGAACACTATTTTATGCATGTGTGAAATCTAATTCATTGTTTATCACACATTGTGCTAAATGGACAACACTTCTTTATTATATCAATGGTTTATGTAAAAACAAGATGTAGTTGCATATTTAACTGTAGCAAAATTTATATTAGAAAAAAATTAAAAGAAAGATTGATATATACATATGAGAGTGTGTTCTCTCTATATATGTTCAATCTCTTGTTAAAATGCAAAAGTTATCAAGTAACTTTTGTTACTCTGTTTAAACAGTTTCACTTCAGCAGTAAGTATGGTGTAATAAACAGAGTGGTAGAAGACTAAATAAGTTTGTCATTCATAATACAAGAAATACATTTATTCAAGAGCAATACAAAACATCAACACATTAAATCTTGATAATTTCTTGAAAAAAATAGATAAAAGTGTAAGGTAGGAGTATTCATTCAGAAGAGTTCAAAGTAAGTAGTATGGTGTAAATAAAAACCATAATGGCATAATGGTGTTATTAGATTAATCAAACTATTATAATGCTTCAGATTAAGCTTTTGGCTTTTCTTGAAGTTGCTTATTACATAAAATGAAAGACTTGAGGGAAAAAAAATAGTACATAGTGTTAAAGTCCTAAAGCCTGCATCTTAGTTGCTGGAAAATGAAATGCAGAAGGGCAATTTTCATATTTGGAACACCTTTTAGATGCTAAATGCAATTTGTATTGAATCAAAGATTCCTAGAAAAAGAAGCTACCATGAACATTTCTCATTCTTACAATAACCACGGCTTTCTGCAGGATAAGACTGTAATTGGCTTCCAGTTTTGATTTAAGCATTAGGGACTGTGGTGAACTTTCCAGAGACTACTGCTTGGTCACTATAAGAGCCAAATATTGAAGGAGCTATTATGATTCTAAATTCTTAACACTTTTGCCTGAGACTGAAAGCTCATTTAAATATATTTCTTTCTTCTTATTTTTTGTATCCTGCCTTTTGTTTTATTGATAAGTATTTATTTCAATACTACACATTAAAAATGTTAGATCCTTGTTCTATTTTGTTCGCTTATTTTCCTTTATCAGTATGCATAAAAATACATATCTATATTCATACATATATACATGTAAATATATATCTACACACCAAAGTCATAACATGATAGAAGCTTTAATAATAAATTGATAAGATCAAAATCCTTATTATAAAACAAATAACTTGATGTATGCTGTTTATTTATAATTCATTTCTAATGTTACAGTTACAATTTAAGACAAGGTTAAATAATCATAATGCCTATAACATTAATATCCAGATTATTTAATATTGTAGAATATCATCTTATTTATTATACTAACATATTGAAATAAAACAGAATATTAAGAGTTTGTATATTATATATTGTACTGAAATAATATACCATATTGAAACTGAGAAGATGATGTAATAGTCAATATAGCTAGATTTAATGTTAAAGTTGAGCTACTTTTATAGTAGTATTTTATATGTATACATAATTTCTTCAGTCACTCAATTACTATTTTGTTTATTCTTTTTTATTATATTAGCAATGTTATATTTTTAGTTGTAAATCATATTGTCTAATTGTTATACTTACCAATAAAAAATTAAATGTTTTAAAATTGTTATATTCTGCTGAACTTGAATATAATGGAAATTGCTGACTAATATTAGAGTAACAAGAAAGTATAAAGGAGAACACATTGTTTATGTAATACAAATATCCCAATCTATTTTAGTAGATGTTCATAAGGAATGTTGAGAATGTGTCTTAGATGTTCTAATCAAGTGGCTGCTGTGGTAGCTTGCTTGTTCACAAGCTCATGACTGAGCAGCTAATCATCCATTGCCCAGAAAGACAAAAGAAAATTTGGAATATTAAAACAGGAGACCAAAACCCAGCATATCCACTAGAGATATTCTTAGTGCAAATCACACTAAGGTAAATGTTTAATTAAACCTTAAAAAAGCAGGGATCTTAGTGGTCATTAAGAGTATCTCCTGGCTTACTGTTGCCCATGGTTAATGTGGCCTACCTCGAAACTAAGAATTACACAAATATTATCAGAAAAACGAAACAAAAGAAAAACCTGACAATTTCTTAGGATCTACGGATGGCATAGGTGATTCACACAGAGCAGTAGTGTTTTTTAAACAATGTGAACAAGAAAAATAAACTTTGCTTATTAAGTGAAAAGCAAAGGCCTTTTTATTTGATTAGTGTCTTGTTTCTTTACCTTTACTGCATTTATCTTCTTTTAAAGCTTCTTTCTGTAAATTAACTTTCTACTGTGTCTTCATTGTACTTGAGTGCTGTGATTTTTTGCCTTGAAGTCCACACCTTTCTTTGCTATTGCTGTTCTAGCTAGCTCCAGTCACTTTCTCTTTATTCTCTTTATTTTGTACTTCTGTATTGTGTTCTGGACACTTCATTCATTTTTATTTGGCAGCAACCGTGTTCTCTTCCCTATCCTAATTTCAAAGCTTCTTTTCTAACCTGCAAATTCATACTGTTTTTATTTATACATTTTAATTTTAGCTTTATTTGATCCTATTTACTTCTACTCTGTAACTATTTATTTTATTATTTATTTATTTATTTATTTATTATTTAATAGCCAACTTTTATTTACAAATAACTCAAGGCAGTGAACATATCCAACATACTTTCCTCCTCCTATTCCCTATAACAAAAACTCTGTGAAGTGAATTGGGCTGAAAGAGAGTATCTGGCCCAAAATAATTCAGCTGGCTTTCATGGTTAAGGTGGGACTAGAACTCAGTGTTTGGTTTTCTAGCCCAGTGCCTTAACCACTGCTTAACTACCAGACCAAATTTAGACCAAACTTATTCTAATATGCTAGATCCACCTACCAGTCACTCTGAGGTAGTTCTTTTCCATTTCTCTTTCCATGTCATAATTGGAGGTCTTGGGTTTTAGGTGTTACTCACTACTTTTAGCACTAGCTTTATTGCAAGTTTTCTTTCACCCATGCTCTCTACTTGGTGGGAATGGTAAAGAAAGGCTGCCCCTTTTTTTCTGTCTCTTTTCTTCTCCTGCTCTGGTTGCCCTTAAAGTCTATCTCTGCTGGTTCTCAATAGCAAATCTATATCACCAAAGAGATGAGGATTTTAACCCAGTGATGCTTACCAAGGGCTTAGCTGAAGTAAAAGCTAAGGTCGTAGAAAACAGCATCTAGGGAAACTTGACCAGAGTACAGAAAGCTGTGTGCAGCAAGACTAGTAGCAGCACCTGGATACATGCAAGTCCCAAAGAAGGGTTCAGATTACCCAGAAGGGAGTAGATTACAGGTGAGTTCCAATAAAAGAAAATCTAGTAGGAAAAAACTCCTGTATATCTGAAATGACCAAAACAAAAACCTTCAGATGGGAGACAGAAATCTCAGGAGCAGAAAACACCCATCCATCTGGCTGTGAAAAGCTTGGATGCTAGACAGGTTACTGGAGATAGAAGTGATGGAATGGCTGCAGTAATTTACTTATGGGATACTGGTGAAGGAAAAACCAGCTACAGCAAAGGAATGAACAAAAGCTCCAGAGTGGAAAGGAAGAGAAGTGTGCTGACTGCCACTCCACAGAAGTTCAGAAATTGGCCCCTGTTGAGTAGAAGTCAGAAGATAAGCACTGGGGAGAAGGGGGTGGGGAAGGAGGGTAAGCACAGAGAATAGGGAAAGTTGTCATCTGCCATTGGATAATTCAGAAACAACAAGAAAGTAGAAGAAACAAGAAGTAAAGATCAGAATATTCAATGAATGTAAATAATAAAGTAGTGGCTGAAAAGAGATATCAGGTTGCCTGAGGGTAAAATAGGTAACAGATTAGTGCAGGAAGGTAGGCAGAAGCTAGAGAATCAGAGCTAAGTATTAAAAAGTAGGAATTAGTGAAGTAAAGATAAAAGAGCTGTTTTAAGAATCAAGGTAAAATGAATTTTTAAAATAAATCTAGTTGAAGTTGGTCAAGAGAAAGCTATAATAAGGAAATAGGGCATTGAAACAGTAAATTATAGAAGTTACAGATTATAGACAATAGGAAAGACTACTTAGGAAAAAAAGATTGCAACTCCCAGAAACACCAGCAAATATCTCTAAAGTCCAGATATTCAAATCTGAGCAGGAATGGAAAAAACAATCGAGTGAATTTTAGAAGCATGTAAATAGATATTCACCTATAGACCAGATACTACAGTATCACCTTGATGGAACATTACTATTGACAAATATAAATCAAGGTCTGCCAAAAGCACATCACAGGCATTCTAGAAACAGAGATCTGAAACATATTAAAGTGCCATTTTTGTATGCCACTCTTGAAGACTTTAAGACTAATGGACAGCAATGCAAGCAAAGAGGCCTCCGTAATCAAGCAGGAGGATAGATCATTTTAGGAGCCTGTGGGATATTATGGGCCTTTTATTCCCCTCTTGTCACAAGCACAAGCTCTCAAACAAAAAAATAAAAATAAAAGTGAGTGAGACAGCGGCATGATTTTGAGGAGCAATTGTATGCACTCTCTAGTACTAGAGAAACTCAATTTTAATTTATAATTTATGTATATATAGAAATCAGAGATATCTGAGGCAGTCCTCTTGTAGCCATATGAATAATATCCTTTAAAAAGTAAGCTTATTCTCAGCAGAAAGCTTTAAAATATATTCGAGGAGAAGAGACTTTGAGATCATCACAGATCATCCACCTTCAGTGTGATAGGAAAAAATAAAGTTACCTTCACAAACTATCATATAAGTATCTCACTTGCAATCTTTTAATTTGATCGTTATCTACACCTTGCTTTATTGTTGGTCACACAGTCAGCCAGATATTTAGGCTAGAATTGTCATTTTTATGAGTCCTTCTCAAGGACCTGGGATAGGCAGATAAAATTTTGATGGTGTGAAAGGAATCACTGAAGAATGTAAACTGTTTCAATAAAGCTATCTTTTGCATTGACTGATGATGATTTTGTCAGTTGCCAATAGTATTCAAGTGATTATTATTGCTATTTTAAATTTACTGGCCACGCAACTCCAGTGCACTCTGGGTGTAAGTCTTATTACAATAAACATTATATGGGGCTGCTATTAAAAATGTCTAGAAGTTCCAATTGGTGCAAAATACTGCTGCTAGATTATTCACCAGTGGAAGATACAGGTACAGTACGATATCAACACTGAAAGATTAGGCTGCTCTTGGGCACCATTCCAGATGTTGGCAATAATTTTAAAGCCCTAAACAGTTACTTAAGGACCTCCTTTTTCCTCAAATGTTTCTTCAGGCATTCAGATTTGCAGAAGAGGCACTTTGGAAGATACCCTTGCTGTCATAGCTTCGGCTGTCTAAGATACAGTAGAGGGTCTTCCCTTGTGCTGTCTTCCCTTGAGAATTACAGCAGTCATCTCAACACTCATTTTTCCTATAGAACATTAACTAAAATGCAGCTTTTTCACAAGGAGTTTAATTTCTAAGTAATGTTGCTGTTGATTTTTAACTGTATTTGAATTTTGATTTTGCATTTTATTGATTGCGTCAGTTGTGAGTATTTCAGTTGAATAGAAAGACGAGATATAAATCAAGTAAATGATTCTTGTAAGGAAAGATCAGCATATGAATAAAATAAAGGCATTCTGAGATATGCCATATGTTGTTAGAAAATTGAACTCTGGAGAATGGGAGATGCTGTATGGATAAGAACCATGGAAAGCTTAAGGACAAAGTAATAATTTATAAAGAGAGCAATACATAATGTACACTCACTTGCCTATGTATGTGCTCCACAGTGGAATTATTTAAAATTTGGTACTGAAGAAGAAATCCTGGCTCTGAGTAACTCATGCATGACCATGCTTTTTTCCAACTGCAAAGATACCAATAACCTCAAATATGGATGTCTTTATTAAAAGCTGGATCCATAAACTCACACATACATAAGACAATCTGTGGAAGATATTTTCTCCTACAGTAATCAGCAGAAGCCAGAAGCATCATTTAGTCATGTAGCTTGTGTACCAGTGATAATGTATAGCCATTCAAACTAACATGTGTCCCCCATGCATTTGTCTAATTTGCTTAGAAGGCATCCAATATATCCGGAGTTCCAAGAGAGGGAGTAAAAAAGTCAATATAGTAGCCATAACCACATGAGCCAAACTCTGACCCCCGCAAAGATTCTTGGAGTCCGTATTGGACACTACTAATTATTGAAATTTTTCAGCATTTTAAGATGGAGTTTTGAATGTCTAAATCCTAAACAAAATAGTCCCAGACTTTTCACTGACATTTATCAGAAGCAACCAAGTTTAAAAATTGATATGCCTGGTAACCATACAGGTTATTCATGCATATTGATAAAGGAAGAGATTCAAACTATTAGCTTCATATGATGGAATGTGGGAATTTTCTTAGATGCTAGTATTTGGCAGGACTGCAGATAAAATGAAAAGTATCTTGCAGGTAGAAAATACAACTAGCTTTCCCATTTATCTTTTGCTTTTTAAAACTAGTAATGAATCAGATCACAGATGCTATAAATATATGGCCAGGCAATTTTTGATTAAGCTCAATGTACCAAAGGAAAAAAAAATCCCTTGCACCAGCATTCAGGATGCTAGTAATAATCAAATACAAGAATCAAGGCAATTCATTCTCAGATATATTTTATAAATCACCATCCTGTCTTCCATCTTTGGTTTGTTTTGACTGTTAAAGGATAACTGAGAGAATAACATTCCTTAAGCTTCTATCCTTAAGCATTCCTGATAAAAGGAAGACAAATTGAGTATTATGGGAATTGTGATTTTATGGGTATGTGGGCTGGGGAGAGAGATTTTTTTTTTTTGGGAGGGAAGGGGAAAATCCACATTGCTGGCCAACTTTCAACTTTATACCTTGGCAGGCAGTATGATTGCAACCATCAGAGGAAGAACATGTATGAAAACTCGAGAAATAATTTCCCAAGCAAAATACTGTATATGCTTGAATTGAGCCACAGAGCAGGAAATGTATTCAGTACTCTTGGATTCCTCTGCTGAGAAAAATGCCTGCAGTCCCAAGAGGTACAAGACAATCTTTCCTGTGTTAATGCTAATTCATTGTGCTGTGGAACTGATCAGACATTCCACTGTTCATGTGTTTAAATGGGTAGAGAAACATACATAGGATTAAGCAGAGGGTGCCAGAAACGGGATGCATGGATCTAAATTCATAATTAAGCTTTTTTTTACAGCTGTATTATGCAGTTTAATAATTGTGTTTTATATTGTTTATAAACTATAATATAGAAACCGGTGTCTCTCAACCTTGGCAACTTTAAGATCTATAGACTTCAGCTCTTAGAATTCTGAGAATTTAAGAGATCCAACTGATTATTGTGAACAAGTCTAATGAAGGATGTAACATAACCAATCAGAGTAGAGTAGACTTTTTTTTTTTTTAACAGTTAAGCCTTTTAGTAACTAGGATTTTTTTTTCTTTAGTCTGGAATATCAAGCTGTTCCCTACGGTTGAAGGACAAAGGCTCTATTGCTATTTTAAATTTATTTATTTATCAAATTTATATGCCACCATCTCACTTTTGAATGATTCTGGTTTCCTGATTTAGAGCTCTTCTTTTTTTTAACATTATCTGTTTATACATGCAGTTATTATGGAAACAGCTGCCAAGACATCACCCTAAAGAGTCAATTGCTGGAACTTTAGATTACTGAGGATGGTAAGGTAAGATAAGCCTTCTTTATATCACAATAATGATCTTGTGTCTGGGTGAACATTTAATTTTAAGGATAAATGGATCCATTCTAGTTTTAAAAAAGCAAATGTATCTGTGTTTTTCCAATGGTGTCCTGATTTAATAACAAGACTAGATTTGTCAGGCTACTAACATGAAAAACTATGAGCTCTGTCTTTGTACATAGACACTGGTGTTTATTATATTACTTATTTAGTTTTTTTAATCCCAATTTTTTTTTATAAATTACTCAAGGTGGTGAACATACCTAATACTCCTTCCTCCTATTTTTTCCCACAACAATAATCCTACAAGATGAGATGAACTGAGAGACACTGTGACTGGCCCAAAATTACTCAGCTGGCTTTCATGTCTAAAGCAGGATTAGAACTCACAGTTTCCTAGTTTATAACTTGGTGCATTAACTAGTACATCAAACTATGTCTCTTGTATGTATCCTGACATAACATCACTAATATAGTCACAGAGTGAGGTGGGGACATTTGCAGAAATGTAAGAAATGACAAGGTGATGGCCACAACCGCATGATTGTAGTCTGTCCCAGTTTTATTATTTGACACATGTGAAAAAAGACAGGGGTTTGAACATGTTGTCACAGCCATCTTCTAGACTGTTTTGAACTCTAGTACTGACTTATAAGGGTATCCCACATGCATTTTCTCAGTGGAAGTCCAGTCACTTTACACTTCATACAAAGTTGGTCTTGAGAATGCAAAGGGTTAAGGGGCAGCTTTAAATTTCACCCTTTTAAAAATGATGGTAAACATACCTGCTTCTATTGCCCTGTTGGTTTACAGATAATCTGAGAATGGAGCATGTGAGTGTGAGTATTTATTATTATGTAGGTTGTGTCCATCTGTTATCCACCTAAGGGCACATGTGTAATAAAAAGAAATGATGAGAGGTTGAAAAGCAATTTCTTTTTAAGGTGCAAAGCCCTCATATTTCATTTAAAGTGTAAGAATTAAACACGAAGCCCTTATTGCCAGTTGGAACTCTGAAAAGAAGCGTGAAAAATAGAGTTACTGTTTGCTTTCTATTCATATCTTCAGCAAGCTGTTGTATGTTAAACTATACTGAAACGGCCAAGACTTTTTCAAAGCTATCCTTCAAATTGGCATGACTTTAAAAAAAACGAATGCATGTCCAGCTTTATTTGTGTGGGTGGTGACTATTCCATAGGGGTTATTTTTCTCTTTTTAAAATAGAGTGTTCACATGGCACTTCTCAGTTTGCCAGTTGACAAATGCCCCTGCATCAGTTTTACTCCAACCTCTGGGGTATTTTGGTTATTGTTACTTAAAAATTTTCCAGGAAATAAAGTACAATTTTATTTGTGTCTGGTATAATCTGGATTAAAAAAACACAGAAAACATTAAAGCAGAAAGATGCTGCATTTCTTTGACAAAGTCAGCAGATAAAATACAAAGACTCTGGGTAATGTGATGTAAAGAGACCAAATGAGTAAGGGGAATTTAGAAGAAGCATTCAGAACAAAAAAATAAAATAAATAATATAAAATATAAATTTTAAATTTCTGCTGTACACAATGGTTGGTATATGACTGTAAGAACATTTGGGAACAATTGTGACTTTGGTTTAATGCCCCCTAGAGGCCTTTACTGAAGCTTATTCTGTTTTATAACAGTAAAGCTGTCTATCAGTTAAAGAGCATGTTGGAAATAAGAGCATGTTTCAAAGAATTCCTAGAAATACTTCAATGAAGGATGTTGCCATAAGATCTTGAAACAGTCCATGATCAGCATAATATCCTGAAAAACCTAAACATAGAATAAACGTGCTATTTTTGTAGACATGGCAAGAAGGTAGTGAAGATAAAAATAAGCAGTGTACATGCATCTTGGTGTGTTTTAAATCTTAAAAACACAAAACAAAAGGAATTGTGCTGTCAGTAAGATTTTAAGTTACAGAAAATGACAACACTTATAGCATTTTACTAATTATCATTCTAACTCTTAGAATCTAGAGATAGCATATATTGGAATGTTGATTCTCCAGGATTTGTAATATGGCTGAGAATTAATAATGATTTCCTAAGGATAGGAAACTACTTGTTACAGAATGTGCAACTGGAGAAGGAGTTGGAGGGAATCTTGGCAAGAGCAACAAAGTTTCCCAGGAAGGAGACAATATATTCCAGAAAGAGACCCAAAATAAGAAATTATGCAATTCTGAACTTGGATGGGGAGGGAGGAAGAGGTTCTGGGTAATCAACCCGAGAATCTGTCAGGATATGTCTAGTAGGTTAGAAAATTGTAGCTTGAGTCTGATAAGATTTTGTCTATTAGGTGAATTAATCTTGTGCAAAATTGTAGAAACTTCTAGTCCAAGCTTTGGCATAAGACAAGTGATATTCAATTTTTCAGGCCGGACTAGGAATGGAATCTGGATTTGAATAAAGCATCCAAATGGAGTAGTTCATTAGTGCTGGCATCAAGAAAGTGGTCCAAGATGAACTACTGTTTACATTACAACAGCTAAAGCCAATTTATAAGACTAGGCTGCCAAACTGTTTTGCTGCCAATGTACTAATCATTTACTGTTTGTTTCTTGGGACACTTTGTATGATCAACCTCTGTGAACAGCAATTTTAAACAATGGTAGAAAATCTTTGGTTTCTTGAACATTTAGATCTACTAAATTAGCTTTGATCTACCATTCAGGCATTGTTGCTTATCATGTGGTTGACCACCCATTTGTTTTTGCTGGTATGAAAAGCAGAAACTTCAGAGTTGTTTGCAATTAGAATAACCTACAAGTAAAATAAAAATAAAATTTGGAAACTTTTTTTCTCCATACTTGTCACATCCATATCTTTTGTGTTTCTCCATGTCTTTATTCAGTAGTTTAGATTTTTTTTACTACACTTAACCTCTGTGTCTTTCGCTCCCAGCTCTCATTTTAAATATTAACAAGTATTATACTCCTGACCTAGACCATTCTGCTCATTCTGCTGATGGGGCCTCCAGAACTCTTCCTTGAAATCCTATCCTAATGATACTCATAGTAAGAAAAGATTATTCATTTCATTATCATAGCACATCTATTCAATGAATGTCTCAGCTCAGCATTTCTTAGAAGATAAAAACCAGCATCTACTATATCGCCATGGAATACTTTATATAATGGTATATAGTCACTCATAGTCAGAAATAATGATGAGTTAGTATGAAACATACATCTGAGTGTACTTTGGCATTTTTCTATATTTAGATTTAACACAGCCATACAGTGTACAGGCTGTGAAATATTTCTAATTATTAAAAATGGTGCTTTTAGCTGGATCTGAAACCGATCACTGTGGAATTGTTTTAAGATTAACCTTGTCAAATATGCTTAAATGGGTTAGGGAAATACATAGAAATAATTCAGTTATAGGCAAAATTAACTAATGCTCTTTTTCATGGTGAGCTGCTGTAACGATTTTATATAGCAGTCAAACTATTTAAATACTAATGTTGCCTTCATGCTGTAATCACCATTCCAGTCAGATGTCATTTTAGCAGCCTATAGGGAATTCAGTCCCTTAATTATTCTTCAATACACAAACCAAGCATTCTTTAATTGGTGTAAATTGAACAGCGTTCCAATGCAAACAAGAAGAGGACAAACTAATCAATGATTCCGTACATGTCTATTGGAAAGCTATTGCCACTAGATTGAGTAGCTAATCCGCAACTCCACAAGCTTCTATTGCAGAAAGATCAAACAGCTGCTAAGCTAATGCTACCTCATAGCATTTACCCTAGTGGAGACTTATGAGGCAAAACCCAGAGTGGCAATCGTTCAGGGAGAAGACTAATTAGGCATGTATTCCAGAATGGGCTTTTTCAGTCAAGCTCATTCCATATATGAAGACTAAATGTCTGTTTGGCATGTTGAAAATTATAATCCCAATGATATAGTTGAAGGCAGATGAACCTGATTGATAATAATATGAACTTGTGTTCCCCATATCTATATATTTTGTGGAGAACATTTCCTCAGTTAATGATGTATGTCATGACGGAACATCACAGAGACAATATATGTGCAATTCATTACATTGTGGTCATCTCCATCCCATTTTCCAACTGAAAGTAACTCAGGTTTCTTCTACCTTCTGGATGTTTTGGACCAACAAGAATTCCAAGCCAACATGACAAGAAAAAAGAATTCTCAAAATGGTACTGTAAATACTGAAACTTTGGAGAAGATTATGGTAGAATCTAGTTGCCTTTTGAGCACCAGCAAGCCATAGAAACACAGGCTAGGGTTTATGCAAGAATATCATCTAAATGAGATAACTGAAGGTTCCATACTGGGCCATCCATCTTTAGCTTGACTGATTCTCAACCTGGATTTTGCCTAATGGGAAACTGGATGAAATTTGTTTCCAGATTTGCAACAGCATGTCATTCCAACAGTAGACATGGTTGTAGAGAGAACAGTTGGCCCAGGGAATGAGGGTAGTGGAATCAGGTCATATGGTGAGAATGGACATAAGGGGTATCTGGAGTATGGGTGGGTCTGCTGTTGGAAATCATGAGCTCTCTATTCAGCCTGAATTTGCTAGGTCTCTAACTCTTCCTTACAGAAATAGAAGATATTGCAAGAACTCAACTGAATTAATTCGATTACATCCCTGAAAATATGAAAAGCAGCCCAGACTGTCATAATGCTCATGGCAGAACCCACTTACAACAGCAATGAATGTATGAAGTTTTGATTTCAAAAGCACTAAGTGATTCTGTTTTGAAAAAAAAGAATTAAAAACATAACTCGACTTTTCAGTGACACCTTTTTTAATAATTCATACGACAAAGAAAATATTTATTGCTCTCTTTGTCACCTCTTTCTATGAATGTATTTTCAGAACAACAGTATCATGGTCTTTAGAAAACCTATCCAGTTTTTCTTTAGGAAACCACTCATTCTTGATATGATTAAACTTATCATAAGTGAAGAG